CCTTACTCTGTTCCTTCGCTTGTTTCTTATGTCGATTTTTTTATTTAAATATAATTTAAATATATGCGTTTATATTAGGTATGGGAAAAAGTTCATGGCGTTTTTTTAATGCCATCTAACAATGCCACGAACTTTTTCCCACACCTAGTATAATAAGCTCGTTTCAATGTGTTTATGCAAAAATTTATTTATATTTCTGTTTTGTTCATTTCTGTTTTGTTGCTAGACATTTTATATTTAACTATCAACTTTATTACTCATTTCTTTAATATATAATTTTTTTCTGTTTTATTGTTAGATAATTTAATATCCTGACTCCGATTATCAACTTATGTTCGATTGAAAACAAAGATTTATATAATATGACCAATCATCGAAACACTTGACTAATCTTTTACTGACATTAAAAGTAGGATCCTAATATTTATTAGAAGTTAATCTTAGCAAAACATCGTTTATTTTTGCAACAAGTTTTTAAGCAATTTTATCTGTATATTTTTATCACCATTAATTCCAAAATTGTCTATATTTCGATAAGAATAATTGTCAATTTTATCGCTAATTTACTGAGGGAGAATCCGTTGTTCCGAAACATTCGTTCTATAATTATTCTATTTTTAATAAATGTATTAAAAATAGAAAAATTTATTATTTATGATTTCTTTTTTGAGTTTATTTATTGATGTTTTTATGTGTTGCTTTGCATAATACAAATGAATTTTACTTTATATTTTTCTTTTTCTTATTTTTCTTACATTGTAACATGAATTACGATGCAGCGTAAACTGTCACACTCTTTGTAAGACAAAGCTATAAGCTAATTTTTATAGTGTTGCGTTATTATCAAATATATCTATTTATATTGAAGATATTCATGAGTCATATATTTACGAGAAAATCCTAAACAACACTATCGCGTGACATGTTTGCATCTTGCAGAACATAAAGTATGCATATAAATTAGCAAAAAATATTTTACATCGAAGTGAAAGAATTCTGG